TCACTATCATAAAGGCAATAAAAGGCCCAAAAAAAAAAAAAATACTAAAAAGCAACCTACAAGAAATTTTGCAACTTCCTCCCATCATCAGGGAAATGGTGACAAATATATTCAAATATATTATATTATTAATTAGTAATTCATTCCCATGCATGCTGTCAAGTCCATGTTTCTTCCGCCAACAGCACTGGTGTCTGTCCTCTTACAGTGCATCTGGAAAGTATTCACATTTCCACATTTTGTTATGTTACAACCTTATTCCAAAGTGGATTAAGTTCATTTTTTTCCTCAAAAGTCTATACAGAAGCCCATAACGACATGAAAAAGTTTGTTTGAAATGTATTAAAAATGAAGAACAAAAATATAACATGCATAAGTAGTCACAGCCTTTGCTCAATACTTTGTTGAAGCACCCTTGGCAGCACTCACAGCCTCAAGTGTTTTCGAGTATGACGTTACAAGCTTAGCACAACTATTTTTGGACAGTTTCTCCCAGTCTTCTTAGCAGGACCTCTCAAGCTCCATCAGGTTGCATGGGGAGCGCGGTGCACAGCCATTTTCAGATCTCTCTAGAGATGTTCAATCGGGTTCAAGTCTGGGCCAGGATATTCACAGAGTTGTCCCGAAGCCACTGCTTTGTTATCTTGGCTGTGTGCTTAGGGTCAGTGTCTTGTTGGAAGGTGAACCTTCGGCCCAGTCTGAGGTCCTGAGCACTCTGGAGCAGGTTTTCAGTTTTCATCAAGAATGTCTCTGTACATTGCTGCATTCATCTTTCCCTCGATCCTGACTAGTCTCCCAGTTCCTGCCGCTGAAAAACATCCCCACAGCATGATGCTGCCACCCCCATGCTTCACTGTAGGGATGGTGTTGGCCAGGTGATGAGCGGTGCCTGTTTTCCTCCAGACATGACGCTCGGCATTCACGCCAAAGAGTTCAATCTTTGTCTCATCAGACCAGAGAATTTTGTTTCTCATGGTCTGAGAGTCTTTCAGGTGCCTTTTGGCAAACTCCAGGCAGGCTGTCATGTTCCTTTTACTGAGTGGCTTCTGTCTGGCCACTCTACCATACAGGCCTGATTGGTAAGTGCCTGCAGAGATGGTTGTCCTTCTGGAAACTTCTACTCTCTCCACAGAGCAACACTGGAGCTCTGTCAGAGTGACCATCGGGTTCTTGGTCACCTCCCCGACTAAAACCCTTCTCCCCCGATTATACAGATTGGCCAGGCGGCTCTAGGAAGAGTCCTGGTGGTTCCAAACGTCTTCCATTTACAGATGATGGAGGCCATTGTGCTCACTGAGACCTTCGATGCTGCAGAAATGTTTCTGTACCCTTCCCCAGATCTGTGCCTCTATACAATCCTGTCTCAGAGGTCTACAGACAATTCCTTGGACCTAATGGCATGTTTTGTGCTGTGGGACCTTATATAGACAGGTGTGTGTGTGCCTTTCCAAATCAGGACCAATCAACTGAATTTACCACAGGTGGAAGTTGTAGAAGGATGATCAGTGGAAACAGGATGCACCTGAGCTCGATTTTGGGTTGTCATTGACGAGGGCCAGGCTGGTGAATCTGTGACTGCTAGCATGCGATGTGTTTACATTTTTTATTTCTTAATATATTGCAAAATTTCCAACAAACTTTTTTCACCTTGTCAAAGTATTTTTTTCCCTCAAAAGACTTTTGAGGGAACAAATACTTTCCAGATGTACTGTACATTTATAGTGTCGCATCTCCACACTTTATTTCAGTGCTTCACAGCCCCAGTGTTGGCAACTCTTTCTCGTTAGAAATAGTGGCTTTCCAGACCCTCTTAGCAACTTTATTTCTAAAAAGCAACCTAAAACAAATTCAGCAACGTCTTCCGACCTTTAGGGAAATGGCAAAAAATACATTCAAATACATTATATTATTAATAGGTAATTAATTCCAATGCATGCTGCTCAGTCCAGAGTTCTTCTGCCAACAGCACTGGTGTCTTTATCTCTCCCCTTAAGTTAGTCGGTGTAGGGCATGTCTGAACTTCTCTGGCACGCTTCCTCTCCAGATCTCTGGATTAGGGTGTTCCTTAAGCTTATATGTAAATAGTTTGTTTGAGCGTGTAAATATTTGAATAGTTTTTTCGATCTTCTCCCTCCCTTTGTAGATTTTTTTATTTACATCAAATAGACAATGTCCCTGTTTGTCATTATTTATTCATCAAACTGTCAGAAAAAAACAGTAACTCAACCAATGGAAAAAAAGAATAATGAAACGGATTGTGGCCAAATACCTAGGATGATCTCAATTTTGTAGTCAGACATAAGTGCAGAACTGCAATAGGGGACAATGCAGTTAATAAACTATATTATGTTGAATAAAAACCAAAATAAAAACAAGAGTTAAGTTAGGGAATTCAGAAAAGTTCATTTTAAGCCCCTTGCTCTATTCATTTTATTTATTTATTTTATTTTTTATATTTTTTATTTTTTAAGTTAATCCTACCTAGTATTTAAAAGGGAACCCTGTGGAGGCATTTTGGTGAATAACACTGAACGTAAACATAACTTTTGTTTGTTTAAAAGAAAACCACAAAAGGTCACATTCAAGCAACACAGCTTATGTGAGTTTGTTTATTTCACAACGCTGTGTAAACCATTAGATGACAGATGCATATATTCAGTTTCAGGAGCCCTTGCAGCTCACCATGTTGATGGACAGTGTGTATGTGTGTACTAACCTGAGAATGCAGAAGAAAACAATGTAGAGACCTCCATTGGCAGTGAGGAAAGAGGTAGACCACAGGATCTCAGGGAGAAGCCTTTTTAAATAGTAATCCTTTTTCCTTCTCCTTAGAACTGCCGCTATCTGAAATACAAAACACAGAAGTGGAGAGTTGAGTCACTGTTGTTAATGTTGGCAAATCATTGGGAAAACTTAAAAATGCACCGAAAAGCATGTCTAACTGGTCAAACGAGTCAACCGGATTTCATCGGTGTGCTGAACTTATCAGATATGTTCAGTAGCCGGTTACTGTGAGTGTGTCAGGCTCGGTTTTAAAAGGGAAACATAGCGCCAACGCTGCTTTTGTAACTTTCAACAAGTCGGTGCATGAACTTGAACTTAGCCCCCACCGACAGTAAGCTGGTGACATATCAGCTAATGTTCACGACAGAGCCAAGGTAGCCTCGGTTGGACTGAACTTGGTTAGCTAACTACCTTTAGCTTCAGAGTCTACAAGTCCCAAATGTTGCAGGTTAAAACAGCAAAACTCACCAGGTAAAGAGGGGCGTATATTTTGAACGAGACCTCCAAGGCACCCCTGGTTACATCCAAAGCGGAATGCACGCAGGACGGGTTCCAGGTATGGCCGAGCTCGTAGCAGCTGTGCGGTATCTTACTGAGAGCGGCCATGTCTGTGCTCCACTGACAACCAGCGACGGCAGGAAGACGCGGTGACGCGCTGCCGTGCGCGGTCACTGCGAGGGGAGCGCGGTCACGCTAAAGACTTGTGTACGTGCAAGGCGCTGTCTGGACTGGACCGTGATCAAATAATAAATAATAAATCAGTGGTGTATTCAAAATCAGTGGTGTATTCATTTACCATATATGAAAAAAAAAAATACTTTTATCTTTTAAAATAAATGTTAATTCATTTTACAAGATGTATGTATGATATTGAAAACTAAACTTTAAAGAAACATAACGTTAGAATCGCCATACAGCTATGTAACCATCTGTTTCTGATGTTAGTTTTTAGTTTGATTTATAAACTATGCTCGGAAGATCCAGCTTCTAAACCTACTCTCATAATATAGAGAGACATGGAGAGGCACTTGAGCAAATTGTTCATTAAAACCAGAATTAGCCAGATTAGTATGAAAGAGATGGGCCACTGTGTGACAAAATGTAAGAGGTTTGTTTTTTGCTGCACACATCATTTCCCACCTGCTCACTGTGGATGGAACTAAATACTTAAATCTGCCTTAATCTTCAACTAAATGCCTAAATCTGGAATCAGATTAGGCTTAATCTGACTCAAGTGTGCTGGGTCCTGTTGGTGGTCAAGTGCATGTTATGGTACACAGTCGCATGGTTTTACTTCTTTTTTTTAATTCATTTGGTGGTAGTGGAGATAATTACACACAACTTGGCATGTTTTGTCCCTTTGGTTAGACTGTCACATAAAGTAAGAGCACACACATTACAGAGCCACAAACCAATTTGGGAACAGTATGAGAATCTGACTCAGCTGCAAATACTCCAATGTTTAAGGTATAAATAATATATATATATCACACTGAATTTCCCCAGGTTTCTTCTCCCAGAGTAAAGAACTGGGCTGGGATCTGACTGAGAATACACGACAGGTCAACCTATAGTAGAACAATGTGTTCTCTCTATAGATTTGGACGATGGTGCTTTACGATACAAAAGAAAACACAGTCCGAATCTGAGCCGAATTTAACCTTCAAGCACATAACAGAATAATAAAAGGGCTTATTATTCAGTTTATTTGAGGACCTTGTTTTCCTGTAAAGCCACTACCCAATGCACATTTTCTCACCATATCACGGCTGTCCTTGGAGTGCAGATTGTACTGAGATATTTGTGAGGATTATCAGAAATAGGAAGCTCAAGGATTACAATCAGCTAAACAAATGAGGGAAGCAAGATGTATTATCAAGGTGTCCTTTTACTTCGTAAAGGCAGAGCTAAAGTTCACCCACCTTGGTCTCTACAGTTGTATTGCCCAGAGTTGGTCAGCAGGTGTCAGCCTAACCCATTTGATGTACAGGATGACACAGGTTGAGAGGTTGGAAGATGGAAAGTGTAGGTGCTGGGTTGAGGGAAATTGGGAGTTGGCTTTAAAATTTTCCACTTGTTGAAAAGTGCAGTGGTTGCTAAAACTAAGATCCCCGATACTGTTGTGGCATCAGCCATTTTTCTTTGGAGTGGTCTACTGGAGCAGCAACATCTCAGCAGCCGACAGGAAGAGACTCGACAAACTGATTAAGAGGGCCAGCTCTGTCCCTGGGTTGCACCTGGACTCAGGTGCAAGGTGGTTGGGAGAGAGGAGGATGAGTAGCAAAGCCTATTGTTTGGACAATGTGTCCACCCCGTGCAGGACACCATCAGCTGCACTGTTATTTTTCTCCCTATCCACTGCTGCTGTTACATTGGAATTTCCCCATTGTGGGACGAATAAAGGAATAAAGGAATATTAATGCGCAAGGAAAAATCAGACTCACACAAAGAAGAATATAAAGATATGCTTTAATGTCTGTCGTAACAGTAATTTACACAAAAAGCGACTCTGCACGTTACTATATACTTTTGTATGAGAATATTTGAGAACCCTATCTATCATAAGCTGTAACGATAGGTTAATTTTTTTTAAGACTATCTGGGATAGAAGTACGAGAATTTAGGTGACTTCTTGTTTAGATTTGCGAGGTCTCTTTTCATTAGCATACTCAACGCATCTCAAGGGTTAACTGCTTCCATAATGATAATAATGGTTTGTGTAAAGACATTGTAATACAATGTATTTCATGCTTGAGCCTTATATATAATTGCAATCTGGTTTACTGGAGGTCTTTGTGTGTGTTAAACATTAAAAAAAACCAGCAGTTTTTGCTAGGCTACGAATGCCTTATTTCCAGCCTTCAATAATCCAAAGTAGCAGGGAGGAGATACTCCAAAAGCCATAGATATACCATGAGAGACATAAGAACTAAACTTTTCTGACGAAAATTGGGTGATTGTCATTTCCCTGATGACCCTCTCGTCTCGAGCTGAATAATGGGAGAGGAGGTTCCTCACTTGATGGGCAGAATATCAAGAACCCATTTTCATTAACTTGGGACAGCTCCAATAATATATTCGTACTTATTGTATGTCTCACCAATCTATCACAACAATTTTAGTTAAACTAGTTTTCCATATAGACCACAGTGTACTTTTATGAATTATGAACTCGAAAACACTAGAAAGATAAAATGCAGAGTGAGCTTATCTCCATCTAGTTTATTTTGATATTTAAAGAGAGCCCCAGGTGCGCGATTACTTGAAATTTTCTGATATGCTGTAATCTTTAAGACTCTATCAGATCTACGGTGGTCCTTTATGTGGACATAAATATTCATTACCTTGTGGTTTGCTACACTAATAAGCAATGAGTGATAATTTATAAGCAAGTTATATCATGAGTCTTTTGCCGATGGACCAATTCTAAAAATAAACAAGTTCCACATATTTAGAACCTAAAAAAGTATAATGTCATCCAAAGGATAAAAAAATATTGTAGGCCCCCTTAATAAGATCAATGCCACAGGAGTATCCGAATAACTCTGGTAGCCTAGTAATAGTTACCATTTTATTGTTTGGCCCTCACCTTTATTATCCCGTCCACTGTGTCTCTGAGAAACCCTTGATTGTTTGGACAAAATTTGAGCGTATAATTGAGATGGACCCCATGGGCGCGCCTCTAGTCTGCATTTTGGGAAAATATAGAGAAGTGTGATCAATTTTTGTATATATTAATATTATGTCTGGGCTTTACGCTCATGTAGAATAATTACCGCTCCAGAAGATAAAGATCAAGACAATATATACCACTAAGAGCAACTCCGTATAAAAGTAATTGAGTTTTTAAAATCGGCAGGAGTCGGTACACAGCGGTTACTAAATCAGTTTTAACGTATGAATATGTAACAAAAAGGGGACAACGAGAAGAAGGAGAAAGTACCTGCATCAGCGTGTATCACTCCGCCTATCACCTCTCCATCACCTCTCACTTCTCCTCTTGCCCCACAATTCCCCCAAATGCCCCTCTCACTCTCCACGCCTTCCACACATGTCACTCCTGCTGCCTTCTCGCTTTTCTCTATCTTCCCACTCACATTCTTCCTGAGTTTGATATATAGGTTTATCCTGATCTGTTTCCCTTCCCTAGTTTCATAAGTGCTGCATACAGCCCCGCTGCACATTGTTAATAGCCAAAGCTCAGCCCGTATGGGAGAGTCAGCGGAGGACAGGTTTACACTTGCACATCTTGAACCCAAACCCCGCTACTAAACATCTGCAGCCCTGCGCCTCACTGCAGCGATCGCCTGAACATGGGACGGACTTTGGGGCTGTTTGTGAGCTGTTTGTTGTTTTTTCTCTCCTCCCGTGCGGAGGGGAAGCGCGGCAGGGAGAGAGTTTACTATGTGGGGATCATTGAGAATTCGTGGGATTACGCACCCGGTGGAAAAAACCTGCTTAACGGGGAGGACACCGCAGGAGATGAGTGAGTTGTGAGAAGTTATTTGGAGATTAAAGATAAAAAAAAATGTATGGCATCAGCTACGTGTTGATCACATGTACTGTGGGGGAACCGGAACCCCGCTACTGAGGTTCAAAGAAAGGTTTTAGGTGTTATCTATGTCATCTTGTCAGGGTGTGATAGTGTCTAGACCTCTGAGGGCATTATTAGTTGCTTTGCTGGAACTCAAAGCAGATCCACAGGAAAAATGACAGTACTTAAGTGTTGAGACTTGCAAATGGCTAGGTCTTCTATTACGAAGTGAGCTGTTTCCTTTGCTATGTAATGTACCAAAATGAAACAGAAACCACTCTCTCATTCAAATAGGCTAAACAAAATGGGTTGTAGGACAGTGTGATTTATTACAAAGATATAATGTTGCTACACTTTAAAAATGAATTCTGCATACTTCCCAATTGTGACCCTTTAAGTTTAAAAATGAATAGTCAAGACCATAAATAATGTTGTTAACCTGACTGAGAATAGTGTTCCTCTGGGCGGTTTGTAACTGATCACTGATAGGGAAGATCTTCTGGACCACAGGCTGAAAAGTTGGACACACACACACCAGACAACAAGCTGATCTGCAGTTGAAGAGAAAAAGACCGTCTCATTCAACACGGGCGAGGACAGCCTTAATATACCCACACTACATCCCAACATTGATTACATTTCACTGAACAGACATAATCCAATTTTCTCCATCATAGCAGAAGTCTGTCAACATGATACAACGATAAAGAAAACATCATCCACTTATCTGATTAAACTGTAATTAAAAAACAAAACAAACAGATTCAGGAGGAAAATGTATGCCATGTGTTCAAAGTCCTAATGTAATATGGACTATGAGGATAAACTGATAATAATAAAATAATAAATAATAATAATAAAATCCAACCCTCATATGAAGGCGTGGATACATTTGGGAATTTCCAAAAGTGGTGGGTTACGATTACGCCACATCTTTTTTTGTGGGACAGCTAACTTTGAAGCATAACAATCGTTTCATTCTTGTGTGTGATTTTCTAGACTTACTCTAGCCAGCCAGCTTATTCAACACTCAGTGACCAATACCAAATATACACAGGTGCAGCATATATTGAACAATAATTCTTTTCTTCTCCAGATATTATTATTATCTATTTCTTCTTCATATTTTATTGATTATTGAATCCATCGGCAGATCATGAAACTGCTATAACTATGCTACAGTTGCAAGGTATTCCAATAAGAAAGGTAAATAGATTAGAACACAGATGATCTCATCAACACTGAAATAAGCACGGCTTTATAGTTCATTCATTCATAAGTCCTGTTTAATGGAAATGTACTAGTGAGAGGTGGAGCACATTAAGACAAAATTGCTCTGACCGGGTGCTCAGTGAGACCCCCTTTGTCAGCAAGGTCATCAGTACAACCCATTTGTGAATCTAGTCCAGGTAATGCTTTTTATCCTCCCTGCTACTTTGGTTTTGAGCTGGATAAACAGTAGCAAAAACTGTGTTTACCACAGCTCCAGTAACAGGCTATTAGCCCGCAGAAACATGTAATCACAATAATGACAAGTCTTATAGTTGGAGAGCTGCAACCAGATACAATTTGTTCTTGTGGCATTACATCTACAGTTAAAGTTCAATAATCTCAAAGATAAATCGGAGCCTTTTGTGAAATCTTCAGCGGCACCACACTTCTTGTCACATTTCCTCCTTTATCTGGCAGTTCCTCTATTTTTGTATTTATTACATAATAGGTTAAAGTCATACAAGATACAGACATCTTGACAATAATAGGGCAGTTGCACTGTTGTCATGGTGGTGTCAGCATGTTTGCATATAGTGTTTCTCTTACTTGCATTTAGAAAATTGCTGTTATTTTTGTCCCACTTATATTTTATTTTTTGTGCTTTAATGTTCCTTTAACTTATTTGTCCTTCTTTCTTGTAAAACAATGTATGTAGCATGACCGGGAGATAGAACTGTGTCATTGTGCAATCCTGTATTATAAAATATGACACTAACCTGACCTTGACCTTATAAAATGCCCAACAGAATAAGATTAATAGCTGTCCTGTTCTGTTCTCCCTCCCACTCACTCTCCTCCTCTGTGTAACCACTTCTCTCTCTGTATCTATTATACTCTGTGTTTCCTTTCCACTTCTATCTCAGGTTTGCATCTGAATTCCTGGAAAAAGGTCCTCATCGTATTGGCAGTGTTTATAAGAAGGCCATGTTCCGACAATATACAGATTCCTCCTACAGCCATCTTGCCCCCCGTCCAGCCTGGCTGGGCTTTCTGGGGCCCATACTGCGAGCAGAGGTTGATGACGTTATTGTGGTCCACTTGAAGAACTTTGCCAGCAGGAACTACTCTATGCATCCCCATGGAGTTTTCTATGAGAAGAATGCAGAGGGTATAGTGCTACATAATACATACACGTGCATATAAAAACACACAGTACGTGCAAAATCAATTAGATGTCCCTCAGATAGAAGGGATACCTGTTTATAGAAAATGATGAGAAATCAGAGAAATATGCTACGTGGACTGTGTACTGAATGATATATTCCCTTCCCTAATGAAAAGTAGTTCGGCAGTTAATGCATTACAAAAACAACATAATATACTGTTTTTTTACCCAAAAGCAGTGGGCTTTGTATAATGCTAGTCTGAAAGTATGGCATTTTGACATCTTGTGTCATCAGCTTCGGTGCCACACTGTCTCTGATAACAAGATACTGGCAGACTGAAAAGAAAAAGGACTGTAGCAAATATGATACTGGCTAAAAGAGTCCAATTAGGCCAAAGAGTGCAAAAGGTGACACAGCACAATTTCAATCTTTGTTGTCAGAAATGTCTCACCATTCTCAATTCACTCAACTATGTGTTATGCCACAAGTCCCCATGCACTCTGCCTCAGGAAGTCCCTGTTTCAGCAGGAACTGAAAATGAAACTAACTTTTCCTTATTAAACAGATTGATGTCATGCTTTATACACAGATTTACAAGAATATATCTGAGTCAGAAAGTGACCAACTAATTTTGGCATGTGTATAGAGGAGGAAGGAAAGAAGAGGAAAGGGAAAGGAAGGGGAAGGGGAGTGGTGTCAACACATCAAGACTGATATAGTCAACTCATTAAAACGGGTCAAATGGGTACAGAGATCAAGGTAATCCTGATATCTGTCACTAAGACTGAGGTTATGTCTTCATAGATCACATGTTGAAGCTGAAAGCTTAGTAGAGATAAGACCCATCGAGGAAATAGATACATTTTTGCAGTTATTTAATACATAATAGTTTCTTCAGCACTCAGTTATGTATGTATGTGATATTTATGTGT